ATTACTAGTTGTATTTTAGATCTAGCTTCCACATGAGAGATAATCTGTATCACTTTTCTTTCTGAGCCTGACTTAACTTCACTGAACATGATTTGTTTTCTAGGTTCATTTCTTTCCCTAGAAATAACATAGTATGATTCCTTCCAATGGATGAGTAAAAGTCCACTTTACCTAAGTACCAGATATCCATATGTTTACATCTACTTTTTTTTTTTGCCGGTGGTGGGATTTGAACTCTGGGGTTGGGCGCTGTCCTTGCGCTCTTCAGCTCAAGGCAAGCGCTTTACTGCTTGAGCCACAGCGCCACTTCTGGTTTTCCAGTGGTCTATTGGAGATAAGAGTCTCATGTTCTTTCCTGCCCGAGCTGGCTTTGAACCGTGATCCTCAGATCTCACCTCCTGAGTAGCTACGATTACAGGTGTGAGCCATTAGCGCCCGGCTACATCTACTTTTATAGTTCAGTTTTCAAATCTAAATGTACTTTTAGAAAAATTTCAATGAAACACATTTGACTACTGTATGTTTAGAAAGCAGAGTTGGAGAAGTTTCAGACCTCTGAAATCTGAAATAAAAGAGTTGCCTTTACTGGAGAAGATGATGACATTTCGAAGGTCTGGGAGTGAAGACTAGGGCCTTAGAATCAGGAATGTTGGAGATGGCTCTTATAAATCCAAAATGCATACCTAACTCAAGAGAAGAGAGATGTGTACTTTTAAGATATAAAAGTAGGGCTGGGAAGGTGGCTCAGTGGTAGAGCACTTGCCTTGCATGCACAAGGCCCTGGGTTCGATTCCTCAGCACCACATAAGCAAAAAGAAAAAAGCCGGAAGTGGCGCTGTGGCTCAAGTGGTAGAGCACTAGCTTTGAGCTGAAGAGCTGAGGGACAGTGCCCAGGCCCAGAGTTCAGGCCCCATGACCGGACCCAAAAAAAAAAAGATATAAAAGTAGGCATCATCAGCATTAGAAGACATCCAAAGTTGTAAGATTAGGTAAAATGTCTAAGGAAATGAGATCCAAAACTTGAATTGCATGGTATTCATGTAGAGATTTAGAGAAACATCTGTAAAGACTCATAAGGAACTGTTAGGCAGGCAAAATAACTTAAAACAGTATCATGACATAGAAAGCCAAGTAAAGGTAATTTTAGGAAATGAATGATCAACCTCATTACATGTGATTAACATACTAAATAAGAGAACTAATAACTATCCACTGAATTTAGTAATCTGGAGATCATTGGGAGCAGTAATTGCAGAGTGGTATGGGTCTAACTGGCATAGTAGGAGAGAAGAAGCTAGACTGGGCTATATAATGAGTCCCAGGCCAGCCTGTGCAACACCTTGGAGGGAGGTTGGGGAGATGAATGAATGACAAGATAGGAATTAGAGGTAATAAGTTTGGAAGTTTTAACCCTTTTTGCTAAAAAGAAGAAAAAAGACAGAAATGAGTCTAACACAGTAGGGACAGGCTTGTTTGTTTCTAAGAAGGGAAAATAATAGCACTGCTTATAGGAATGATCTAGTAGAGAGAAAACTTTCAGGCTTAAGGAACTGGAGAGAACTGCAACTGATAGGTCCTTGACAAAAAGGATATAAGGAAAGAGGTTCACTGTAGAATAGAAGACAGTTGAACCATAGTTAAAGAAAGGAATTCAGAGGGTAGAAATGGTAATGGAATGTCGCAGAATGTTTCTTCCAAGTTCTTCAATTTTCTCAATAAGATAATAAGCAAAGAAATTAGCTCAGGGTAAAGGTAATAAAGAAACCATTAGAGATTCATGAAGAAATAACATGTGAAAAAAAACATATAAATCATTCTGGACTGTGATTTTGTTAAAGTGTAGTTCAAAATGCTACAAACTGTTACTATTCTGTAATAATGAAATAGTACTAAAGTTAAGAAGCAACAGTTATCAGTGGATTTGTCCCATTGTAATTTCCAAGAATATATAATTTTTATAATTAGAATCCTTCTTTCCACTATTATGCTGAGTACACATTTAATTTCTTATACATTAAATCATGTCTATCAGGCTTCCACCAGAAAAAAATGGTCACCCCATTTGTAAGGAAATGGAAGGACTTGGGGAAAATCATATTAAGTGAAGCCAGACCCAAAGAAACATAGGTCCCATCATTTCCCTTATTTGTAATAATTAGTATACATCTAGGATAATTTTAGCAGATGAACAGAATGGCTTAATAGCTATGTACATATGGCCATATAAAATGATGCTAAGGGTAATGAACTCCAAGACATGGACACAAGAGGTTTTTCTGGGTTGTTTTTCTTTTGTGTCTCCCTCCCCCCTCATGGTTTATTTCCTGTTGTTGCTGTATTTGATTTTAGTACCCTGGGTATTATATATACATTTATCTGAATTAGGGATGGGAAGGGGAACAACAAAATGGTGAGACGAAGGATAAAGGGGGAACCAATGCTTGTATCACTACAATGCAATACAAGACAATATGTTGGAAATGATCTGTACAACTTGGGGGAAGGGATAGAAGGGAGAGGGAAAGAGGGAGAAAAATGAGGGAGGGGGTAACAAGTTAGACAAGAAATGTACACACTAACCCCTCTGTAAATCACCTCAACAATAAATTAAAATTTTAAAAAAGTTGTTTCCTTAACAATTTCTTTCATTGTATTTTACTAATCATAATTAGGGAGTTAGGAGGGGGGAAAACCCAACTGATCCTTCACTACAGGTAGATTAAGAAGCACTAGTCCAAGAGAGTGGCGCAGTAATTGAACTAAGAAAATGTTCTGTGATTGCACTAAGGGATCAAATAACATCTGTAGCCATCAGTTGAAAGACCAGTCAGCATGGTAGTGAGATTTTCTCCAGACACAATAAGCTGTATGGGTGTAGAAAGTATGTTGGTAAGATATTTATCATTATGGAATACCTGAGCTAAATCACTTTATAAAGTGAATCAACTTATAAGGAGGGAAGGGTTATTTTGGCTCATGGTTCCAGAGATTTCAGTCCATGGTTAAATGGCTGTGGTTAGGCAGTATATGAGAATAGAAATTTAAGCTAGAGAATGCTTGGCAGCCAGGAAACAAGAGAAGCTGATGTCCCACTGCACTCTGTAGGAGTATACCTCCAATGATCTAATATCCTTCTATGAGGTCTTAGCTCCCAGGACTTACAACCTCTCAATAGTGCCAAAAGATGGCAAACACAGAATGTGCAGAACCACAGAGTAAAGTGTGGGAAGCTGATGGTCCCCAGGTGTCTAAGGATACTTATAATCTAGGATATAAAAAAGATGGAATGACTAAGGATATAGGTCAGTAGTGGAAACAATAAATGACCAATAAATACATGAAGAAATGTTCAACATCCCTGGCCATAAAGAAAAGAAAAATAAGAACAATATTAAGATTCTATCTCACTCAAGTAAGAATGGCTATCACCATTTATTTATATATATAAGCATACATATATAATGTATGTGACCAACAGGAATAAAATATGCAGGTGATATACCATAACAAAATCCCTTTAGACAATTAATATGTATTTTAGCAAAACTGAGTATTAGGACATTAAAATGTCTGCAGAATCTACAAATGACAATTAAAAACATTATTTCTTGTTCATTACTTCTTCTAACACACTTTATAGAAAAGATAACTCATTGAACAGCTACTATCTAAACCTTCCCAGTTATTTATATATTTTATGTAATTTTCAAATTTAATCATTCTCCTTCATCCAATCACATCTTGTCTTTTTCCTTACCATTATGCCTTTCTTTATCAAGATAATAGACATTTTTTATGTGTAGAAGTAGATGATTTTATGACTGCCAAACAGAATAATTTTTTTGGGGGGGGGTCCGGTCATGGGGCCCAAACTCTGGGCCTGGGCGCTGTCCCTCAGCTCTTCAGCTCAAGGCTAGTGCTCTACCACTTGAGCCACAGCACCACTTCCGGCTTTTTTCTTTTTTTGCTTCTGAGGTGCTGACGAATCGAACCCAGGGCCTCAGGCATGCAAGGCAAGCACTCTACCACTGAGCCACCTTCCCAGCCCAAACAGAATAATTTTAATCACCAATAAGCAAATAAATTATTTGAATGTGGAAGGATTCTGACACTAACAGTTTGAAAAGTGAGGAGGTAAAGAGGTAACAGAATGTGGTAAGTACAGAGATTTCCTTTTTCTCTCTCTTCAGACCTATACTACTATTTGCCTTTCATGTCTCTATTATGTACTTCAAGAAGATGAATTTTACAGAATACATCAAAGTAATCTTTTTCTGCCTTCAAGTTAGATTTGGCCATTAAGGATACTGGCAAAAAAGCAGAAGTGAGCTGTGAGTGTTAACCTTTCTTATTTCTTCCTTGGGGGCTGTCTATGTTTTGGTAGAAGCTTTGTTCTTTTGTGTATAGCCTCAGCAACTGTCACGTAGTCTCTCAGGCAACTGTAATTCCCTGGCTCCAGAAATCTTACTTTTTTTCTGTTACTCTAGAAGTCAAAGGCTCTCTGTTCAACTGCTCTCTGCTGTTTCTTGCTTATGATGCTTTACCACTTTTGGATATATACCTCACGCATTTGTCAACTGTCCCTTCATTAAACCATTCAATTAATCCATGAGTATGCCAACTGTTTTTAATAGAAGCCAGAATGGTTTAATTTCCAATACTCTTGTAGGAAATTTGCAGAGGCAGGTCTTCATAATTCAATTCCTTCTCATTCCAAATTTCCCAACTTAGTATCTCCTCTATTCCTAGTCCTTAGTGAAAATCCACCCTTAGCTTTTGGGCTTAGGCTTTCATCCTAAAAACATATCATTATGACATTGGTAGATTTCCTCCCCCCGACCCCCAACCAAAGCCATTGGTAGCTTTTAAATGTTATTTATAAATTTATTTTTATGATTACTAAAGCATACATTTGTACAATGTAATTTAAATCAAGATGCAAAAAATGAGGTAATTTTAGGAATTTACTCAGAAAAAAAAGAAGTAGATTTCCAGCTCACCTCTTTCTCCTTATTGAGCAACACCAACTGGCTGTCTGTGAGAATGCAGTACTTCCGCTCCCACGTTGTTGTCTCAGTGTAGGGTGACTGACCACAAGACAAGCGATGAGTGGGTGGTCCCTTCACATCTATGTAACAAAAGAGAAAAACAAAACAGCAACAATCATTTTAATGTTTAGTAAGCCTTGGTATGGCCAATTCTTCAAAGTCATATTAATAAAGGAATAAGTCTAAACATGAATCTCAATAATAAATTGAAAATTTCATCTTTAACTAAAACATGTTATACACAAAATAAGAAAAAAATGGTCTTACAATCTGCAAAGACAGCTAAAATCCTCTAGGAAAAACTGTTAACACAAACTTGATGCAGTAATTATTATTGTATTTACACTAAAATAAAGGGAATTTGCTTCAGAGTTAAATCAACACCATTAAAAATAAACAATTGGGGTGATATAGAGACAAGAACAAAAGATAAAGTTTTCAGTCTTTAGAGGAAGATGATGTTACATATACATTGAAACTACTGCTAACCCCAAACTGAGAGTGTAAAGTTATTGGAAGAATATATATACAAAATGGCTTTATGCTCATTAAGAATTGGAAATGTTTAAGCAATCATCACATAACCAACCACTAGGGGCCAGTAAGATAAAAACAAAACAAAAATCCAACCAAAACACAAGTTCCTCATGGAACAATCTTAAATGCATTGCCATCACATTGCTTATAGATAGAAGTACCTAACATTAAAGTGAAGTGTCTACATGTGGCAACCCAAATGTCTCACATTTATACAACTACTAATTGATGCTAATTTTTAAAAACAGAAAAAATTATAAAGCAAAAAGCTGATTAATTTCACATGATCTGCATAAATGTTTTAATTTTTAATCACATCATATCCTTATTTATGAGGTAAAATATCAAAATACCTTGAAAAGAGGAGGATACATCTAGTATTTAATACAATCGTTTTCAGGCCTGATAAGATTTGTGCTGGTCCTGGGGCTTGAACTCAGGGCCTGGGTGCTGTGTTTGAGCTCCCCACCCCACTCACTGCCCCCCCCCCAGACTCTCCAGGTTAGCACTATACCACTTGAGTCATAGTTCCACTAATGGTTTCTGATGGTGAATTGGACTTATCCATTGGCACCCAGCTGGATACATTTTATTGAACTGATTAGCTTTATTATGTAAGTTATTACATCAATAAACCCAAACTACTCACTGAAATATTATGATCTATACTAAAGCCAGAAGGCCCTGATTCTGTCTACAAAATTAGAATACAAGATACTCTGTTACAAAAGCTTAACAGCAATGTGCATATGATCATATAAAATTATGTTTAAAAAATAAAATTATGTTTATACAAAAGAACTCCAAGAAATAGAAACAAGAGGTTTTCTGTTATTCTGCTTTTCATTTTGTTTTTTTTTCTCCTTTGTCATTGTTTTTGATTTCTGTACCTTCTGTCTTGTATATAAGTTTATCTGTTTTGGGGATGGTTAGGAGGAGCACAAAAATGGTGGGACAAAGGGTGAACAAATGCAGTAGCATTACTCACTTGGACATTATGTTGAGAATGAACTGTACAACTTGTAGGGGAGGGGATCAGGAGGGAAAAACTTGGAAAAAATGAGCGAAGAGGGGACATAGTTCAAAAAGAAATGTACTCATTATCTGACTCATAACCCCTCTATATATCACCTTTATAATAACAATTTTAAAAATGGCCAAGTAAAAAATTTTAAAAGATACTACGTTAATCCCAGTTTCCTAGTAAAATATATAACTATGTTATCACTGAATTTAAGAAAATCTAAATTTCTCTAGGTATGGTGGCTCATGCCTATAATCCTAACTGCTGGGAGAGAGAAATCAGGAAGATTGCAGTTCAAGGCAAGCCTGGGCAAAATGTTAGTAAGACACCATCTCAAAATAGGTCAGGCATAATGGCGAGAGCCTATGATTCCAGCCACTCAGAGGCATAAGTAGGAGGATTATGGACCCAGTCAGTCTGAGCATAAATGCAAGATCCTATCTCAAAAATAATGAGAGGAAATTGAACTGGGGGTATGGCTCACACGCTAGAGGATCTGCCTAACAAACTTAAAGCCCTGAGTTCAAGCCCAGTACTGCAGAGAAACAAACAAAACCCCCTACAATTCTATCTTTGGGTGATCTTTAGCAATTTTTAAAGCTTTATTATTTAATGTTCTGCTCTGTCCAAACTGAACTTTGTTCTAGTTTCTTCATGGTATTATGAAAAATAAACAATGTCTCATAAATCATTTTGGGAAGCTGAACCAACCACTTCCTATCTTTTACTAAAGATAGGATGGTAGGGTTGAGTTTGAGCAGGGTGCTTTGAATGCATATATGAAAATACCATATTTCAACTCCCCTTGTACAACTAATAATGCTAATAAAAAACTTTCTGAAAAAAGATAGGAAGAAATGGAAAATCATGAAATAGGGAGTAAAACCTCTGTACTTAAAAAATTCTTCATATTTTGAAACATGTAAATCATTATTTCATCTATTTTATTTTTATACATAGATAGTGCCATTTTTGATCATTTTATAAAAAAAATTTGGGAAAAAAATCAAAACAGAAGTGATCATTTTTATGAGTTTTAGTACTTCTGATGTGGGCATAAGTTTAAGAAATACTTTAAGTAAGCAGGTGATAAAATTTTTCAATAACTTACCGGATATATTTGTTTATCCTATCATATGCTCATTTCTTTGGCTAAACAAAGATTTGGCAATACATAAGAAATGCCTCTATACTAGAAGATGTAGGAAAGGACAAGCTCCAGTTTTGCCCTATCTGACCTTCCCTATTCTACTAATCTTTATTTTTTACTCTAGTGACTTACTTCCAATTTCTGACTTCTAATTATTTTTAGTACCCAAAATTCACTAGAGACAAGGATAACTAAAAGAATCACAAAGAATCATAATAGCAAAATTAGAAACAATTTTAAGTTTGCTGTGTCCTACTCCTATGAGAATACTAAGAACATTACATGCTGACCTCATTACAAAGATAATTTGTGTGTGTGTGTGTGTGTGTGTGTGTGTGTGTGTGTGTATGTGTGTGTTGGTCCTAGGTACTATGCCTAAGGTTTATTTGTTTATTTTTTATCAAAACTAGCACTCGAAACTTGAGCAACAGTTGTACATCTGACTTTTCAGTAGTTCACTAGAGATAAGAGCTCACAGACTGGGCTGGGAAGGTAGCTCAGTGGTAGAGCACTTGCCTTATATGCATGAGGCCCTGGGTTCGATTCCTCAGCACCACATAAGCAAAAAGAAAAAAGCCGGAAGTGGCGCTGTGGCTCAAGTGGTAGAGTGCTAGCCTTGAGCTGAAGAGCTGAGGGACAGCGCCCAGGCCCAGAGTTCAGGCCCCATGACCAGACCCAAAAAAAAAAAAAAAAAAGAGCTCACAGACTTTCCTGCCCATGCTTTGAAGCACGATCCTCAGATCTCAGCCTCTTCAGTAGCTAGGATTACAAGTATGAGCCATTGGTGCCCAGGCAAAGATTAAATGATTTTTTAAGTATCAAAAAGAATTAGCCAAGCCAGGTGCTGGTGGCTCACACCTGTAATCCTAGCTACTGAAGAGGCTGAGATTTGAGGATTGCAGTTCGAAGCCAGCACAGGTAGCAAAGTCCAATAAACTACTCAGAAAAAGCCAAAAGGGGTACTGTGGCCCAAGTAGAAGAGTGCTAGCCTTGAGCACAAAGAGGTTCAAGGTCAGAGCTCAGGCCCTGAGTTCAAGCTCAGGACCGGCAAAAAAAAAGGAATCAGTCAGTCTCTGGTGGCTCATGCCTATAATTTTAGCTACTGAGGAAAGTGAGTTCTAAGTAGTACAATCAGCCTGGGCAGATAAATCATTGGGATTTTTATATCAAAAAGCTGGAAGTAGAGGTGTAGCTCAAATAGTAGCATGACAGCCTTGACCAGAAAAAATATAAATTATGCCTCACTATCTCAAAAAATAAAAACCAGAAGCAGGGAATGCACTATTTTAAAGCAATATTGTCCTGTAGACCAGCAGTTCTCAATTTTTTTTGGGGGGGGTCCGGTCGTGGGGCCTGAACTCTGGGCCTGGGCGCTGTCCCTCAGCTCTTCAGCTCAAGGCTAGTGCTCTACCACTTGAGCCACAGCGCCACTTCCGGCTTTTTTCTTTTTGCTTATGTGGTGCTGAGGAATGGAACCCAGGGCCTCATGCATGCAAGGCAAGTGCTCTACCACTGAGCCACCTTCCCAGCCCCTCAATTTTTTTTATATCAAGATCCCTCAAGACTCTCAAACATTATTGAGAACTTCGAAGAGTGCTTACGTTGGTTGTGACAATATGTGCTACATTAGATATTCAAACTAAGAAACAAAAAATATGTATTCATTTATAATAACAAAACCATTCTATATTAGCATATAATACATTTTAAAGAAATGTACTTAATTTCAAAACTAGAAGAATGACACTATTTTGAAAGACTGGCTAAAGAGAAAGTAACTAAGTTCCTTTATCTGTTTCTATATTTAATCAATTGTTTTATGTTGTGCTAGCTGATGCACAAGATGAAAATCTGGACACTGACAAGTAGCTGGAAAAAGGAGTATTTTAATAGCATTTTCAAACAATTATGGATTAATTTCTTTAATATAGTACCAAAACCTGACAAGTTTCACCTTCTAAAAGTTACTAAATCAATCACATGGGAAGGTCTATCTTTTTACCTAGGCTAGCCTTTAACCAGGATCTTCACCTTCCAAGTATATAGGATCACAATTATAAGCCACTGCACCTGGCCTATTTAGTCATGAATTTTATCATTAACTATAAATACTGTTGTTTATTTGCCCTAAAGTGATGGGTTTACATTCTTCATTTGTCCAGGAAAGTCTGTCATATAGCAAACATAGAATAACCATAATTTTTTCAGTTGTACTATAAAAATAGCTTTACCTTAGCAAATGGAGAGCACTGGGGCAGTAGTGTTACAGAGATCATTTGTTAAAAACCACTGCTTAAGACAATAGGAAATGAATGAGAGAATCTAACAAAATCGGGACAAAATTTATAAAATGAAATGTATAAAAGACC